TATATATATATACATATCAGCTCTATTTCAGGGTTTCAGGATTTTAGTGTTTTAGGGCTTGGGAGTTTCAACCTCAGCATGCAGGAGCGGCAGTTCAATGGATATTATTGATAATGACATACTGGGGTCTAGTCTGCCGCTGATACGTATGTTATAATCGTTCACTACAGTGTGGATTATATACGAACATGCGAGTGTGCTACATATATACGATCCATGACATCCAACTGTATGACCAACGTGACATGCACACACATAAACACATGCACTCAACTAGGACTCATAGGTATATATACACACACACATAAATATATACCTATAAAATAAACTCGCGTACATGTACGTAAAATACACCTATTGAGAACCCTCACGTACCTGGACAGCCGTGGCGACAGTGGACTGGCTAGTGCCCTCGTGTGTTATAACTTCGAGCAAAGGCATAGCTGGCACAGGACTGAAGTAGTGCATTCCAATGACATTCTGGGGCCATTTGGAAGCCTAGAGAACATAAAAGCTCTGTGTGTTAGAGAGAGGGGGTTTACAATTATTTGTTGTATAGGTATAATTGTTTGTTCACACATAGGTAGCTGGGTATTTGATATTGTATTTATATATATATATAATATATATATAAGGGTATGTATATATAATATATATATAAGGGTATGTATATATACATACGTACATAGGTACATAGGTACATATGTACATACGTATATATATATATATATATAAATATATGTCTATATATATAAATATATGTCTATATATATATCTTACATTTGCAATATATATATATATATATATATATATATATGTTACCTTTGCAATATCAGTAATAGGTAAAGCAGATGTGTTGCTGGCAAAGATGCACTTGTCGCTGGTAACCGCCTCCGTTTTTCGAATCATCTCCTGCTTGACACCGAGGTCCTCAAACACGGCTTCAATAATAATATCCGCACTACAAAGTGATCGAATACGAAAGATAATATGTATTAAGTGGGGATATACATACACATATGTATATAGTATATATATACATACAAGTAAGTATTTAGTAGATATGTACATAGACATGTATTTAGTACAAATGTACATACAAATAAGTATTTAGTAGGTATGTGCGTACACATATGCATGTATATACACAACATTCATATACACATCGTTTGTGTATGTACTTTATGTGGAATAAGGCATATAACCATCATATAGACTGGGATTCCGGGATCCTCGGAAACGAATTAAAACAATAATATCTGCGCTACAAGGAAGTAGGATACACAACACTCTTTAACAGTTCAGAGAACACTCGCACACCGTAATCACGCTGGACACAAACACAAACACATTTACACACACATGCATACACACACACGCACACGCACACGCACGCACGCACGCACGCACGCACGCACGCATATATATATATATATATATATATATGTACACACACACACCTCTTCAAGTCCGTGACATCCGTTGTAAGCTTGAGTTCCGACAGCATAGTATCACACTTCATCTGAGTCATGGTCTTCTTGCGCACACGCTTTCTGAACACGTCCTCCACACGATTCACACCCAACGCAGCCGCATCAGCAGAACGATCCAAGAGCCAAACCTTGTGCTTGGCATTCTGAATGCTCACTTGTGCAATGCCCGAGCCCATCAGGCCAGCGCCTAGGATGGCTACCTACCCAGAGGATAGTGTAGAGGTGTGAAAAATGTAGATGTGTATATGTATATGTATATGTATATGTATATGTAGATAAGAAGATATGTATATGTATGTGTTATATACAGATGTGGATGTATTTGTGTGTAGATATGGGGGGTAAATCTGTGTGTATATGTTTGTAGGTAAGTAGGGTGTATGTATAGGTGCGTGTTCCATGAGCCATGCCGTGTACATGGCGTGCTGCTTGCTTGCCTGTACAATAAGTGAACATATTAGCTCTATGCTTACTAGGCCTACTACTACTACCAGACATACAACCAGGCGATTTATATTTAAACCCTAGACCCTTAAATAGGCCCAATATATGACCTGACTACCGAGTGCATATATATATATATATATATATAAAGTACAGCCATCTAAAGCTTCAAGTGCACGAGATGTGTGTCCCTCAGATAATATATATATATATATATATATATATTTATATATCATAAATGCATGATAACTTACTTTGTCGACACTTGGCTTTGGTTCGCCCTTGTTGACGTATCGGTTGACGGCACACTGCTTCTGCCCGTCAAACAACGACCGCAGCGCAAGGCTCTCCTCCCCCACACTCAGGCTGGTATAAGACTCGACTTCCTTTCTCTTGCCTTCTATAGGTCCCTGCTTGTAGCTATGGATATGAGTGTGACGACTGGTCAGCACAACGTATGATGTGTGGATATTAAGTTGTAGCTGAGGGTAGGCGTGTGGTGTCTGTCAGTACAGTGGTGAGGTATGATAATATGGATGGCTATAGCATCTGTTGTATGGTGTTTTTAAATATAATGTGGTTGCTTGATAGATAATGGCTCGGCCAACAGTACTTGTGGTCACAAATAGATTTCGTATATATACGTAAATATATATCTAATATATATCTAATATATATATATATATATATGTGTGTATATGTATTATATATATATATGTATATTTATGTATATATAAGTATATATTTGTACATATATGTATATATGTATATATGTATATATATATTATATATATATGTATATGTATTATATATATATATGTATACTTATGTATATATTTGTACATATATGTATATATGTATATATGTATATATATATATGTATATATATATATATAGACTTAAGTGATTTCATACCCGGCCTCGACGCAGTCTAGGATGGCTAGGGGTGCTGGGTAGTTGCCGAATGTTTTCTTCATGACAGCATCGCGTGCTTTCTTGAGCACCAGATTCTGACAACGAGATTAGGAAAGTTACATGTACAAATATCAATACAGTGTTCCAGAGCTGAACGAGATTAGGAAAGTAACATATACAAACAGTGTGTTTCAGGGGTTTAGTGTTAGTTGAGGAACATGAACTGGGCCGTAGTGACTATTTAATTAAACATTAACAGTCTGTGCGGGGAGAGACTATTTCAGGGCGCTTTAGGGTTTCTAGGGTTTCTAGAGGTTTAGGCCCCAAGACAGCCACGCGTGCTTGCATATAAATGGTGCTCTGTTTGGGGAAGTAATAAAAGGCTTCCTTATAACTCAGCACTCAATAGACAACATCTTCTCGGGGTATTGTATTACACGCATTAAACCGACGCTCAATCTATTGGTTGCACATACGTTTGCACCGCAGCAATGAGCGGAAGGGGTTGGTGTGTTATACCACGCTAGACGTCAGGACAACCACAGACATAGTGCTACGAGATACATAACAGAGTATACGCTTGCTCTACAGGGGATCAACCAATGCAACGACGCATGCTCAAATATGGCGCTAGAAGTAAATCTTTTTATGGTAGAAGCATAGCTGAGCATTGGTATGCCAAACACGGGATACACAGGATCAACAATACACTTCCGGACACACATGAGCATTTCTAAACCCTAGGTCTGGTGGGAACTAG